TAAAAGAAACTTAAAGGAAAGAATACAAACGAACAACATAAACAAACGTCTACAAACATAATTGAACGCACAATATCATTGTTCATGTTCGTTCATTTAATTAAACGAACGAGAATTTATGTTCATTTTCGTTCATTTATTAAATAAACGAACATAAATAATCTTGTCGTTGAACGGTTCATGAACAGTTCTTTGAACGTTCGATTCGTATACACCCTTACTTATGGACGAAAGGTTGATGTAATAAGAAAATTATAAAAAAATAAGTTGCGAAATTGTTCTTGATACCGAATGGGTTGCAACATAAAATATAGTGAATAACCAAGTGCACAACTCAATATTAAGCTTGTAATATGGTTTCCGTTCGGTGTAAACAACTTTCCAAATCTCTAAGAAAGAAAATCTCAAAATAGGCATGAGAAAGTGAGTTGAGAACTTGTTAATCAAGTTGTGCAGTCATTCATGAAATTTTAAACTTAGCTATTAACCTAAATAAATTGCTCTAGCCCACTTTATATCTAACTTAGTATGGTCTTTAGTATTACACAACTTTTATATATAAACTTCATCAATATAAATTCGGGAAAAAAAAAAGATAAGTTTCAAGATCGTTTTTCAAGTTCTAATATAGAGTTGAGTCGAGAAAATCTAAGATTCATGAATATAGCGCGGTTAAAGAGTGCTTGGGATTGAGTTTCAAATGTGCTTATTGATTTATTTTTATTTTAAATTAAAAATAAGTTTAAAAACTGTTTGCCAAATTAATAAATATTATTCAAAAGTGTTTTGTTTTATTTTTTAAAAAGTTATTTTAAATAAGTAAGAAATTACTACTTTTCAAAAATGTTTATAACTTATTCACTTAAAATAACTATAAACTAATCCAAATATTAAAATTTTTATCAATTTATAACGTCTTGACAACCACTTTTAAAAGGTTTTGAATAAGGATTTAAATATTGAGGACCACATTCTTTGTTATTTCCAAACTCGCAATTAACCAATTGAGAGGTTAAATTGCTTTATATAATCATTTTAGCGATTTGCCCAAATATAATCAATCTCTTAAATTGTAATTTATTTTTTATCATCCATCTATCAAATCTATCAAATTGCTTTATTCAATAATCCATATTGATGTAATTTTTTAATAGTACTTTACTCAATCCAATCCTTTTTATCGCATATGAAATTATAAATTTTGACACGTTACATTATCCACTCATTTTGTTAAACAAATACCACGTTATATATATAATCCAAAAGCGTAAATAGTTGCATACTTGTAATTTGTAAAAAATCTACAAAACCCAAACTGCTCCCACTCGTCACCTACACTTCACCCATTTTATCCCCAATAATTACTTAAATGCCACTCAAAATAAAAAAAACCGCTTCCCTGTAATGGCAAGTCTCGTAATTTTAAACACTCCCAAGGGCACTTATTTAATTCATAAACGTATATAATGACACGCCAAACGAGTGCTTCTCTCTCATCTCTCTATATAAAAACCCCCCCAATCTCACACCAGTTTTCCCCAACCGATCTCCGCCCTTCCACCGCCTCCCGTCTCCCTTCTTCCAATTCATCTCTCCGCCGTCGTCCGGTGTCCCCATCGACCGCCGCTGCCCTTGGAACCACCGTCTATGTACCGGATCTATCAGTTTCTGCTGAAACCCTAAAAATTCAATTTGATTTTGATTCACACAACCCTTTTCTCCCCCTTCTCTCTCTATTTACAATTTTAGCCCTCACCCTAAGCGTAATTACCGTTTTAGCCCTTCCCTGTTTCTCTATGTTGTTTCGTGTAGTCGATTTCTCCGACGACGAATTCACCAGTCCACTGGAAAACATTTTCTGCATTTCCGAGAGGAAGTAGCACACATCGGAATTGACGTTGTGTGACGATGAATGACCAACGGCGATACGGAATGTTGATGCCTGGAGCATCGCGATTAAAGCGCAAGGAGAGGGAATCAGTTTATCCGGCGAAACGATCACCACTAGCACCACCACCACCACCACAACAACAACAACAACCACCACAGAAGCTGACACAGGCGACAGTTGCCTCATCTACGGCTTCTAAAGGAATTAAAGGAATGGAAGCGATGTCATCGAACAGACTCTTAGCTGGTTACATGGCTCACGAGTTTCTAACGAAAGGAACTCTATTAGGACAGAAGTTCGACGGAGGAGCTGCGGCGAGAGGGAAAACAGAGGCGAACGGAAATGAAACTTACAAAGAGATCACGAGTTTGCTGATGATGAAAACCGATGGAGGAGGAGGAGCTCGTATACCTGGAATCGTGAATCCTACACAGCTTGCTCGTTGGATTCAGATGTAATTGGGGAAGAAGAGTACATGTACGTAATGTACAAATCACATCGGAATCAATACTTTCTTCCATTTTCGGTTTGGTTATATATAGTCTCTATGTTGTTCTTGTTTTCGTTAATGAATGTCTTAATGATTTGATCGTATCATCTATAATACGATATCGATATGATCTGTTTAAACTAGGGTTGGTTGGTTGCCAAAAAATTTTGGATGGAAATTAAACGTTTACCAGTGCTCTTATTTTTATTTTTATTTTTATTTTTATTTTTATTTTTCAAATAACGCGTATTTTTTTAAATATATAAACGACAAAGAAGGTCACGATTGATAAATTCATAAATTTGAACACATTTATATTATTGTTGAAAGTTCTTTTTTAATCGAAAATAAATTATTAATATATTGGGTCTGTTTGATTCTTTTTAAGTCAAATTTATTCCTTCATTATTATATTTCAAGCTTAAAGTTGATAAGTGATCGATATTCATTTAACGTCCTTTGCAAACTTATAGCCGGTTTTTGTTTAAATCAATTTTTTTGAAGCTCATTGCCAAACACACCAAAATCATTCAAAAACCCATACATTTATTATTTGTACTTTTTATCATAAAATAGCGACAAGAATTGAGCAAAAATGGTTTATTTAATCTTATTTTATTTTCATATATATAATAATTAATTTACTATTAACTCATATTTTTGCTAAAATAATACTATTGGTCCTCATGTCGGCGAGTCCAGGGTCCAGCATTACAAAAGTGAACATATGGAATCAAACGTTAACATCTAGAATATGTATATAATAAATATATAATAATATAATATGACTTGTAGGAAAAATGTCAAACTAAAAAAAAAAAACCCGAAAGTTGAGTGGTTCTTTGTTATTTAAAAGAAAAAGGTACAATAAGTGAATTAAGCGAAGTATATTATTATTAACATAATCACAGATTTTAACCAAAAAGGAAAAAGAGCAATTACGATTTAAGAAGGCTTTTTATTATTCTTTTTTTGAGCAGGCGGCTTGGCGGCTTGTGCATCAATACTCTCTCTTTTCCTTTTGTTTTGATTAACGTTGTTGTTCATAGTACTGTTTCCACCATTGCTTGTTGGACTCTTTCCTTGCCCTTGAAGTAACTCTTTCACAAAAAACTTCAACTTCCACAATGTCGACTCACTCTACATGTCACAACGTAAAACATCAGTCTCACACATTACAAAACAGAATAGTACAGGTTGTAATGTATTTGGTATGCATTGGACTGACACCGATCACTGATGTCAGTAGGACAAAAGTTGTAACTTTTTGTGTACCATGTCGACACGCTATTGAATTCTTGTATGTGAAAAGACGTAAATGCCCTTCTCATTGAAAATACCTGTGCGTCGATGTCGAGGTCAACTTCTTGACCGGTTGCTTGAAAATTTGGGTTATGTTGGGCGACAATTAGCAGCGCTTTGTTTAGGTCTTCGGGGGATAATTGGGTCAAAACCGTCATTAGCGCTTTCTTTTCCTCTGTAGACATTTTCCTAAAATGGTATTCTACTTTTAGAATCTAAAGCTACATTAAATATATAAATAATAAATCACAATAAACATTAATGTAAAATGAATTTTATGAAAATAAACCTGCAATTTCTGAGGACAACTTCTCTAAGTTCTTTGAGATTCTTGTCAACCTTTTCGAGCTGAAAATGAAAAAAAAAAAAAAAAATTATATTATTATTCTAAATTCGTCATTTATATTAAATTTAAATAAATGGCTACAAATTTTTAACATACTTCAGCACTTAAGTCTCTAGCCATTTTGGCATGAGAAACCTCTTGAGCAAGTTGGATATCTAACTGTGCTTCTGCTTCTTCCTTTTTTCGTCTTTCATCCTACAAGTGAAATTACCAAAATACCCTCGACCAATTAAAACTCGAAGAAGATAAATTTATAATTTTTCGGATCAATTTTTTACCTCTTCATCGACTTTTGGCAAAAGTTGGAGCCATTTTTCCTCAAATTTTGCGAGTAAAGTTTTGGCCATGACATGAACATCATTTCTTTCATCATTATATTTCATAGCATTTTTAAAAATTAATCTCACATCTGCACATATTTCTCTCACATTATTATACCCTGTCCCATCTTTCGCCTCCATTTTGGCCTTAATTGTACTGAAGTCCATTGGCTTTTCAATAACCTAAATTTTTATAAACCAAGTCAACAAAAACATGTATAAATTATAAAATAGCATTTAGAAACTACATTGCTATTTCATGATAAAAATTTACCTCATAGTAATCATGCAAACCAAGCCCTACTACATCCACAGGTTGCATAAATGGTCCAGACCACTTGTGGCCAGTATAGATAGAGATAGTTAAGGAAGGGTAAATATGGAAATACATAAATTATTAAAAATGAGACCATTACCAAACCAATAAACATTATAAAAATTTCATAGAATTGTAATGTTGCATAAGGCTAATTTTTTTTGGGGGGAAATTAGTAAATTACTATGTGGCAAATTTTGTTGACATGGCGCTGATGTGGCAAACAGAGAAAGGATATATGATATGCTGGCGTAATAATACGGAAAACTGTCGCATAAGATCTTGCATTCTTTTTGTAGCAGCTGCTTCTCTGCGTGATGCGTCCAGCTGGCGTCTTTTAAAGCTGGTTATTTGTTTATCTTTATCTTTTTCTTTCATCACTGAACTAGCTTTAGAAGTGTTTGACTGTTTTTTTCCTGGCTTTGAATAGAATTGCTCAACTTCGTTTAATCTTTGCTCAAGCTGTGTATATTAGTTGTTTCATGTCAAACTAAAATGAGGCAAAAAGAATGAAAAAAAGATTGAAACAATTCATTTATGCTTCATTGATGTGAAAATTATGTCATCAATATCATTATGTGGTTATAATTTCAGAGTAGCAATAAAATAATAAATGGTTGTGGAAAAAGTCAATGGTTTTATGTTTGAAATCACCAAAAAAAAAGTGGGGACTATCAAATGTCATCTACCATTAATGTTTCCTGATGAAGATACCAAGTTGTCTGTTATTTAGCTCAACTGTCTGGCATAGAAGCCATTAAAGCTTTAAAAGCTTCCATCAAGATGAAATAAAGTACTCTCTTTGGTTGACGATGCTCACAATAGCTAGGATTCAAGAACAGGAGCATGAATTGGGGGAAAACATTCAAGACCTAAAATTAGGGTTCCGAAATGTGTTAAATTCCAACATTAGTTCAGAATTTTTGGGCAAATTGCACTATGCATGTCTCACAGTAGCGTAAGAACTCATGGAGAGGTAGATGACGTTTGATAATCCGTCAATATCGCATCAATGCTATAAATTGGTTTGTCTTATCATAAAAGAACACGTACTAAGGAGCAAAAGACAAAGCCGTTTCTAATTTATAATCGTTTTAAAACAAGGTCTTCGAAACAATCGGAAGAGGAACTGATCGTCATCAATTACAAACCATACGTCATTCTTATTTAACCTAAGAAGATGGAGTGTATATAAACTGGGAAAATTATACAATCGGAAGATTCAGCAACAAAAAGCGTACCTCATCAACCTTCACGATGATCTGATCAACATTTTGCCCTAATTCCTCCGCAACAGCGGGTTCGCCTTCGGTTCGAACTTCCGGAACGGGTCCATCCATTGTTTCCATCTATTCTTGAGACTTCGATCCACGATTGAAAGAATTTTGGAGTAGTAGATATATTTTCCGACGCAAACAAAGCTCCGGTGACTGGCCGTAGGTGTGTCGCCGGTGATGTCCGTCGTTGGAGAGAGAAGAAGGGTTTGGAACCAGGTGGGGGGTTTTGTCATGTGAGATAATTACAGAAAAAGTAAAAGAAAACGGTAAAGGAAATTGTAAGTTACAAAATTACCCCCTACACTAATACGTAGTCACAGATTTTACCCATTATTTCTTGTTTTAGATAATTAGAGCTCAAAATAGTTAATTTATAACTATTTCAACCTTACATCGATAGCTGGTGAAGAGCAATTTCATCCATCTATCATTACCTTCATCTTGAACTCTTTCTTAATTATTATTCTATTTAAAATAAATTAAGAAATACAAAATCCCAAATAAAAGAATCTAATAAACTTGGTCATTTTATCAAAATATAAACAATAATATGATTGTAAACTAGAAAAGTGGATCCTTAATTCTCCACCACACAAAAACTCTCACAATAAAAAAATTACCATCATGTTTCTACCTCCTTTACATAGAGTGATATTGACCGTAAACGAACCGAACGTTCAACGAATTGTTCGTGAATCGTTCGGTGGGAAGTTCGCTTATATTTGTTTATTTAATAAATGAACGAACATGAACACAAATTCTCGTTCGTTTAGTTAAACGAACGAACATGAACAATGGTCTCGTTCGTTTAATTATGTTCGTGAATGTTCGTTTATGTTTGTTTATGTCCGTTCATATAAGTTCCTTTTTATATTCATATATGCTTAATTATATTTGTTTGCATTACTATATTATATGTTCATTTATGTCCATATATG